GTGTTGATTGTACATATGGTAAGTTTGCAAAACAAGAGTAAGAGTAAAATGGGAATGAGACTAAGACGAGGAGAGTGGCAAAAGTGAAAGAGAGCTCCAAATGTGTTTAAGGTAAGTATCGGAAGCTACACTATATATCTCAGAGTTATCTTAAGTCTGACACAGATTTAGTTTTCTCAAATTTCGTAAATCTCAGAATTATTTCAGGTCTCGTATATCTCAGATTTAGTCGAAAATTTGAGCGGTAAAAGAAAGGATATTAGCGATGCCGCTTGCACTTTTTAGAAACTGCGTGATCGAAGTGGTAGAAGAAAGAAGTCTGTTCAAGAAGCAAACGCGGCTTCTAACATGAGTGCAACAGACGATGCAGAAAACCGGGCTTCAGAAGCCGAGTCATCGACACATCCAAAAACGGCGGATGCACCTCCGGGTCAACCGGAAAAAATTCTGCCGATTGTCTCTTTTTTAAGTGCCAACAATCAGCCAGAAGCTGAGGATGCTGTTCGTGAGGAAGGGAAGACCATAAAGCGAGGTTCAGTTCTTCATTCATCAGACAGAGCATTCGTATATTTGTGTAGCATAGAATTTTACGTTTGAGGGCATAAACTTAGAAGAAGTGTGTGAAATCGCTGCCAAAAAGCACAATCATTTCTTGAAAAATACAGGAATCAAAATGAGTGCAGAAAATTTTTGCAGTTCCAAGTGCCATTTCTCGAGAAAATCGCCGGAAAACATCGATCAACGCATGTGAAATCAACTGGGGCCCAGCTGGTCGTGTTGAATGTGGTCCAAACTTTGAAAACTCGCGCATGATGATGGAGTTCGACCAAATTTTTCTGAATAAGTAGGTTCCGTGAAGTTCATTTTCTAAAAAACTATTATGAATTTTCTATTTTTGTCAGGTACATTGCCAGACATCTGAATTGCCTCGAGATTTTTGCTTTTCCCGCTCTAGAATCAAAAAAATGCTGTAAACGCAATTGCAAAAATTCAGCATTTAGCTTGACTAATTTTCCGTGATTCATCGGTTTGAATTTTCAAGTGTATTTTTAGGAACTACGTGAGAAATATGATCTTTCATACTCCTGTGGAATGCATAGGTTGGCTGAAAGCAGAGGAATATCATTGGGGCGGTTGGATTTTCTACGCTTATCAACAAAGTCACAAATTTATGGAGTTCCTGGGTCGGTGTTATTTGCACTGGAGTAAGTACGAATGCACCCAGGAGATTGCAGTTCTGATCATTATTCGCACACTGCACATAATTGTGTATGAAAAGAATCGTCACAATCACAAGTGCCCATTTGTAAGTCATTTTTTCAGGAATTTATGAAAATTTTGTTCTGTAACGTTCTTGAATTACCTTCACCCTTCCCGCATCTCAGTGCTTTCTCTGCTT